AATAGAACTATCTTATGATCCAGTTATCAGGCTACTGGGTATTTACCCAAAGGATATAAAAACACTAATTCAAAGGGATACATGTACCCTTGTGTTTATTGCAGAATTATATACAATAGCCAGTATATGGGAGCAACCCAAGTGTCCATCAATAGATGAACAGATAAAGAAGTGTGTGTGTGTGTGTGTGTGTGTGTGTGTGTGTGTGTGTGTGTAATGGAATATTCAGTCATAAAAAAGAATGCAATCTTGCCATTCCCACCAATGTGGATGGAGGTAGGGACTATAATATTAAGTGAAATAATTCAGTTAGAGAAAGACAAATACTGTATGACTTCACTTAATATTTGGAACTTAAGAAACAAAGATGTATGGAAGTGTTGAATCACTGTATTATACACTGTATGTTAACTGGAAATAAATAAAAACCTTAAAAAGAAAACAAAGAGCAAGGTGAAAGAGAGAGGACACCAAGATTCAAGCAAGCTCTTAATTATAGAGAACAAACTGATGGTTACCACAGGGGAGGTGAGGGGAAAGATGGGTTAGATAGGTGATAGGGATCAAGGAGTGCACTCGTTTGATGAGTGGTTGTGTTGCTGAATCACTGTATTTTACACCTGAAACTAATGTAACGCTGTATATTAATTGGAGTTAAAATTTAAAAATTTTAAAAAGAATATAAAAGTATATTTCATCAAAGAAGAAATATAAACCATAATAAGAATTTTAAGTTTCTTTTTTATATAAATACTGTAAGTTTCAGTGTCACACATATTAAGAAAACAATGCAGTTTAGTAATTGCAGCAGGATATTATTGTAACTTATGAGAATATAATATGCGTAGTGAAGGTGTGGCAAACAGTACACCTTTGTTTTTCTAGTAGGAACATAAATTCATTCAGTCAATCCTAAGGTAAATTTGACAACTTATTTCAACAAAGTTTAAATGTGCAAGATAATTAAAATGATTATGCTGGCCAGAATTTACTTAAGAGGAGTTATCAGTCATGAGCAAAACAATAAATTGTATAAATATGTTGATGCAAGAATTACAGGGTAAAAATTGAGAAATATCTGAAGTGGCACAAATGAAAAATTGGAATAAATATGCCAATATAACTTGGTGAAAATGGAGTGTAATATGGCTGTAAAAGGTTCTATTTGCAAATTATTTAAAGATATTGAAAAATACTCATTAGATAAAGTGGGGGGGAAAAGTAGAGCTTAAACCAGAATATGCAGTATTATTCAGGTTTGTTTAAGTTTGTGTGTACATATCAAAATATAAATGGTAGGATTATAATTCTTGTTTTTATATTTATGTTTTAATAATGAATAATGAGTAAACTTACAATAATGAATATATATTTCTTTTATAATCTGGAAAAGAAAACAGAGGAGAAAAAGGGTCCACATATCACTAAATAGTCTTTCAACAGGTTCCTTTTATCCCCACCTCCTAAATGAAGGGAATCCCTTAGAATCTATGTTTATGTCTCTATTGTTATAGCATATGTGTCCCTGAAATCTCTTCTTCTGTATTGCCTGTAACATTTTAATGACTATCTCCTGGGTAAGGATTTCATCATACCTGACCACCTGCACTGCCTATTGCTGATTCCCAGGACTTCAGACTATCAATTCTTAGTGAATGTGTGAAATTCCCCATCCTGATTTTCTCAAATTTGCTTCTGTTTCTCATTTATTTAATTCTCAATTAATGCTGGTATTATCTCTTGTTATCAAAATTATCTTTAAGTTTTAAACTTAAACTTGGGAGCAACCCAAGTTGCTTGCTTCCCCCTTGCTTCTTATAACCACATCTTTCAATTTCTCTTTCTTACTGGGATATATAAACACCTTTACCCCTATCAAATAAGTGGTCTTTTATCATCACATGCACCCAGTCCTGCCTTTTAATCAAAATATTCTATACTGTCCTCACTTTAATCTTCTTGAAATGCTGCTTTGACAAATCAACATCTTCCTCAAGCTTTTGTCCTGTTTACATGATGAAGTTTGCACTCATTCTATCTTATGCCTTTACTCTCATTTCTTATTATTCCAAACCTGGCAGTCTTCTGAAACATAACTTTTCTTGACTTTATACCCTCTCTCAAACTCCTCTCCTTTTATTTCCACCTACTCTAAAGCTCTTCATTTTTCAGGGTCCAGCTTAAATTCTTTCTCCTCTGGAGGTAATTTGACAAATATCACATGGAACTATTTTCTTTATCTTAAGTTGATGTATGTAGCTTATTGGAGCTGGGGGAGAATTTATGTATCTGAGAACTATATGGTTTTCTTAAGAAATTAACTTGTTTCTTTTTTTAGCAAGATGACTTTACTGTCCCCTTCATCTTATAAATGGCAGTTTATACATAATGTTCTGACATAAATATTTCTAGTGCTCCCTCTCAATTTTAAAAGTTGGGACAATAAGTTACATGGTTATCCTACTGATCCAGTACAGAATACATAGGAACAACTGTTACTGGATGTATGAGCAAGTGCCTTCTAGTGAACCACATGCTATGAGCTTAAGTACTAGAGGGAGTCACCTTAAATAAAAGAATGCTTTTCTAAATTTCATACTGAAAAGTAATTAAGCTATAGTATTTCTTAAGCTCTGTATATTCTGGGTGACTCTTCAAAGCAGGTTCAATATATTGAATATAGTTGTTTAGGTTGGAGATGATGGAAAACCTGCATTACTGACAATAAGAGCATTTATTTTCTTTTATTCCCCTTTGTGCTCCCACTCCCTATCTTTTGATGACATAAGATTGTGTGTGGCCAATAAGTTTCTGAGGAAATAACTTAATACTCTTAGGTCAGGGACCTAAGGTCAAGACCACTCCTAGGTTTGGCGATTTGCTAGGAGGACTCACTGCTATGATTTATTACAGTGAAAAGATACTAAGAAACTCAACAGAAGTGCATAGAATGAAGACTGAAGGAAAGCAGACACTAACATGCAAGAGTCCTCTCTCAGCAGAGACAGATAGAACATGCTTAATTCCCATAGCCATCAATTGTGACAGCACATGTAAAAATGTTGTCTATTAGAAGCTCATTATAGACCGAGTGCCCATAGTTTTTATGGGGGCTGGTCACATAGGTAGTCTCTGCTTGTCGTATCCTTAAATTCTAAACTTCCAGAAGGAAAACAGGTGTTTGTAATAAATCATATTGTTGGCACAATTTAGGCACAGGGAGCTACTCTTTCCTGTTAGGGTGGTAGGTACCCTCCTGAAATCCACATTCCCAGATACCAGCAAGGACTGGCCTTGTAAACAGACCTTTCAGTGGAGAGCATTTAGGTCTTCACAGTTTTGTTGACCACAAGTAGCCATCTATGCTGTAAAGGTGTCTCAAGATTTTAGTTTGTTCCCATGTGCTAGTCTATAGAATCAGTGTCATTATATTTTAAAATAAAGAAAAGCTTCAAAGGTAACTTGTGGCATAGATTTTTCTCTCTGAGATTGAAAACATTCTCAGAAGGTTTACACCCAGTGTTGTACTGGAGCTTTCTTTGGAGAGCTGATTTTCTTACCTCTTGCTAACTTCCACATTCAGTGATGGTAGGTTTGTGGTTTGGAACTGGCTATTTTGGGAATATTTACACCACAGAAACCAGCATAGACTGCAAATCAGGCATTCCCACCACAGACCCAGTTGTTAAACTGAGCATATCACCACCTATGCCTCCTTACCATTCATTCTGTAAATACTGTATTCTTCTAACAGTGATAAAAAGAAAATATATATAGGTATATATATCCTAAACTGTCTTCCGGGAGCTGAGAAGCTTCTGGTTCAAATTTCCTACCTGATTTATATGTTCTTTTGTATATTAGTTTGGAAACTTGGAATTCCCAACTCATTAGAGAATGAGTTGCTAATAATATTAGATTGTTTTTATTTATATAAATAAATTAATAGTAAATAATTATTACTAAAGGTGTTTCAAATGAAATTTTAATATGCTATGATGATGTTCAAGCCAACAAACCTAATTTTATCTTTTTTAAAGCTTTTCTATGTGAAATTATTGTAAATGGCTCCAAAGTATTTTCTATTCCCAAATTATTGTTGGTGGATGCTTAATACTCCAGAGAGCCCATTCTTTTCTTTTCATCTGCTCTTGGTAATATCAACTGGCAGTGAAGAGTACAAAACTGGGAAAGAAAAGTAAAATTATGATTCTCTACTAAATTAAGATCAGTTTTAAAAAGGACATCAGAAGATGATAATAGGTATGAAGGAGAAGCAACATCAAAAATAAAAGAGAAAATTATCTCGATAACACTTTCTCCTACTTCATCAATAGAACCCTATTGTAGTTTTGCATATAAATGTGCATAACATTGATAAAGCATGATTCACTAAGTTAGAACTATTTAATTTTTTTTTCTGAGATTTTACCTAATGATGTGACTCTACTGAATATTCTCAAATGATTCTCCCTCAGTAAAAATCCAAATTTGTTACAAAGTATCTAAGATTTTTTTAGTGTGATGTCCGCCTTACTTCATTCACCCTCCTATCCTCTACTTTTTTACTCTGTAGACAAACTCTGTCAATATCTTTCATGCCTCTTTACTTTTTTGTGTTTCCCTATTCACTGCCAGTTGTTCATCTCAAGATTCAACATATACCACCACCATTTTCTTTCTGAATTTTGTTTCTTTTTGTATGATTCCATAGATGTCCATATATATTAATATGCCTTTTTTATATTTTTTATGGTGAATGTTGTATGCTTATCCTCCCTCTCTTCTTCACATTCCATACCATATAAACTCTGGTGGGCAAGGACAGTGTTTTCCTTGTCTCTGTATGTTCAAAGCATAATAATTGCTATATTAAAACTTTTTGTAGAACTTAATTTTTAATAAAAAATTTGAAGTAGAATAGGATTTGAGTCCTTTTCTATGTAGAACTATCAATGATTACTCTTTGTGTCATGATTTGCCTCTTTTTTACTCTTTAGGCAGATACACAGATTGACCGAGAACATCAAAATTTTTATGAAGCATCACTAGAGTATGTCTTTAAAATTCAAGAGGTTCAAGAAAAAAAGAAGTTTGAATTTGTTGAACCGGTAAGTTGCAGTTTCCCTACAAAACAGTAGTTCAACACAGCCTATGAAAACAAAATTTGTAATGTTTTTCTATTGGACATGTGATTTTTAAAAACAAAAGGGAAGAGATGTGTAGAGGAAGGCTACTAGGTGGAGGATAGAGCACTATTAGGGCAGTGGAACTATCCTATATGATACTATACTAGTGAATACATGTCATTATGCACTTGTCAGAACTACAGAATATACAATGAAAAGGGTAAACCCTAATGTACAATATAGAGGTTAGTTAATAATAATCTATCAATCTTAGGTTTTCATTTGTAACAAATGTACCACACTAATGCAAGATGTTAATAATGGGGGAAACTGGTGGAGGTTGAAGGAACATCTTTATATTTTTTACTCAATTTTTATATAAACCTAAAACTGCTCTTAAAAATAGTTTATTAATGGAAATATTAAAAAATGAAAAGGGTTCACCTTATATATATACCTAAGTAAATATAGCTCACCACTAAAGCGACCTATTTACTAAACCTTTAGGTGAAAGGAGAAAACATAAGGTTATATTTCTCCCTTTGTTCCCTTCCACTTCCTTGCAAGGCTGGAATCTGCCTGACTTCCCTATGAAGTCATTTATCTTCCTAAGTCATTATAAAAAGTAATGGATTTCCTAATGTAAATTGCATTACAGGAAAGAACAGGTGGCTGGTCTTTATAAGCTTACTTCATTTTCTTAGCATTCTTCCCCAAGTACTACCATAATATGTTACAGTATTGCCCGAGTAGGCACTTTCATAATGCTTCGTCTGTGATGAATCAAAGTAAGTCCTGTAAGTCAAGATAATCTTTGTTAATATATAATGTTCAATTCCCATGAAATGAGTGGATAACAATAGTTAAATACATAGATAATCTAAAAGATGATTTAATCCATATTTTTCTATGTCAGTTAAGAAATCTGTTTATAATAAGAAATAAAATACCTGTTTCTAAGTGGAGATTGTGGGGAAAAGGGAAAAGAAGACACATTTTAAAATGTATTTGATGAAATTTCATTTCTAGATGGAAACCCATCAGTGATTCCTTAAAGATGATGGGAAAGAGGCAGAGCAGATACTGGGAAGAGTTCTAGTCCCTGCCTGGCTCCCAGCCACTTCTACTTTACTTATCTCCCTCCACCTGAAGCAATCTGACTCTCTCCTATAAACTGGGCACTTGGCAAGTTTATACGCTTCAGCTGGACAAATTTAAGGAACTGAAGGCCACAACGCAGGCTCAGGGATTTAATTTTTACTGTTTATTTGGGTTAACAGTCTTAACTACAAGTTCTGTTTGCCAAACATCTAAGTCCTTAAATTCCTTAGAATGAGTTAGTAACCTCTTGGTTAGTAAATGTTTGGGGGATCTCATTAAATTTTATATGAGTTAGGGGGCCTTCTGAAGCTTATCTGTGGCTCAATGAGAACTAAGCAGCCTTACAACCCCCAGTCTAGGAAGATGACCAGTACTTAAAATTCCTTTCCCCTTTTCATTGACGAAATCCTGCCTCTGAATCCTACCATGATTTTTTGAAGCCTCTCTAGTTCCAGCCAAACTTCCTCCTTAGGATCTGTTTCTTGGGATTTCTGAATTTTAGCTCTTCTTGGCACTAAACTTGTGGTGTATGCCCATTATATCTGATGGTATTTTTTCATACTTCTTTCTCGTCTGCTCCCATTCCTTTCAGATACTATTCTTATCTGCTATGTTGTTTTTCTTCCTTGCACCTGGAATGACCTTTTCACACATGCAAGACCCCTCTCCATCTCCCCTGGGGAGCGACATGTCTGGGGAGGGACGGACATTCGGGTAGCCTATCACCCTGTAAAAGCCTCTTTTATAGTGTATCCTGTCTGGGAACAGAGAACTAGACCATTCTGTCAGATGATATCATATATATAAGGAGAAGACTATAAAATTGTTTGCTCACAGGTGGCTGATAGATAAGAATCTGTGAATTCCTTTGGTAATACATGCAGAGAGGTGGAAACTGTACTTCAATTGAAATGTGTTTTCTTCCTTCCCTCTACCGTATCCCAAACTGGGATGGTCTGATAAATCTTCTGTAATGCATGCCTTTCTTGTGATACCATAATCAAAACCGATGTTAAGTTTGTCCTTCTTCCAAAATACGTTCTTGGCTGCTATACATTTATTATTGGACTGTCTGGCCAAACCAAAATAATGCTGTCAGTTTAGCCTTGTTCTCATTTCTAGCCATATAGCTTCACCCACAGGGTTCTATTTAATTTCTTTTGCAGTAATGAGAAGAATGGAAATGGAAGAAATGAAACATGGGCATGCTGCTCTTTAGGTTATGTATTTGCAAATTAATTCTGAGGAAAGAAATTTTTTTTAATTTCAAAAACAAAGTTCCTAGGAGCTATAAACATGAAACATATTAAGAAAACTAATATTTTACCCTTTTTGTTCTACAGAAAATCTAATTCCTGTTGCATTATTGTTTATATTGCAGAAATCTAGTAGTCTACTCTAGTTTTGGCCCATATTTATTTAACAGATAAACAAAGCAAAATGTTCCAAGGATCGACCTATCTTCTATAGATTATAGTAGATAGATATAGTTAGATATAATGTAGAATAAAAATTTTAAGTAGAGAATGATCATTGGCACTAAATATCATAAAGTAAAGAATGTTGATATGTTTGAGATAATTTTACGTTTTTCAATTAATGTCAAGATCTTACTTCTGGGGGCGCCTGGGTGGCTCAGTGGGTTAAAACCTCTGCCTTCAGCTCGGGTCATGATCTCAGGGTCCTGGGATCGAGCCCCACATTGGGCTCTCTGCTCAGTAGGGAGCCTGCTTCCCACTCTCCTCTGCCTGCCTCTCTGCCTACTTGTGATCTGTCTGTCAAATAAATAAATAAAAATCTTAAAAAAAAAAAAAAGCTTACTTCTTGCCATAAAATTTCTACAGAATATTCAGGAGAAACAATAGTATGCCCATCTTATCCACAGGTATATGTGGATAAAATCCAAGACCCCCAGTGGATGCCTGAAACCAAGGGCTGTCCTGCCCCTATGTATACTGTGTTTTTTTTCCCTGTACATACCTACATACGAAGATAAAGTTTAATTTATAAATTAAACACAATAAAATATTAATAATAATAACTGGTAATAGAACAAATATAAGAATATGCTATAATAAAAGTTATGTGAATGTGGTCTCTCAAAATATCTTACTGTACTCACCCTTCTTGTGGTGATGTGAGATGATAAAGTGCCTATATGATGAGATGAAGTGAATAATGTAGGCATTGTTAATATATTGTTATTGTTAGGCTACTATTAACCTAATGATAGGTCAGAAGGAAGATTATCTGCTTTCACACCATTGTTGACTGTGGGTAACTGAATCACAGAAAGTAAAACCTTGGGTAAGAGGATATTACTATATTAGAAATAAATATTCCTACAGTGTCATTATTTCAAGGAAAAGCCAGTTCTAGAAGAATGGGGGACATTTATATTTTTTTAATAAAACTATGTAACTGTTCTTAAAAGATACAGAAAATCAGCTTTTTAAACTCAGTTCTTCATTAGATAGTTTTAATGGCCTTTCCCCCCTGTGTATCATATCTTATATACAGAGTGACTGTAATTAACTGATCTCTAGACCTATAGTATCCGATATGGTAGCAACTACCCATGTTTGGTTATTGAGCACTCAAAATGATAGTTTAGATTAAGATGGGCTGTAAATGTAAAACACATACTAGATTGCAAAAGTTTGGTACAAAAAATTATGTAAAATATCTCAAAACCTCTTTTATATTGCTTAAATATTGAAATGATAACATTTTAGATATATCATATTGAGTAAAATATTAAATTTCACTTGCTTTAATTTTTTTATGTGGCTACTAGAAAATTTCAAATTGCATATTGGTTTGCATTTATTCACATGTTTCTGTCAAACAGGGCTAGACTTCATCCTTTCAGATTTGCCAATAAGATATATGAGTTCAGGGCTAAAAGGAGGGGGAAAGATCAGAGAGGGAAAAACCCCATCTCCCAACTCTTGATCTTAAGATCTTCTGCTTCTCAGAGTTGCTTGGAGCTTGTGAGAACTTTGAGAGGTAGGAGAAAAAGCTTCTCAAGTATGCTGAACATGAACAAGCTTACCTAAGAGAGTTGAGCCCTAGTGTATTTGTTATATATTATGGTACATGAAAGTTTGTGGCTCAGAAACCCAGAGAATCCCTTTATGACTTAACTCCCTCACAGTTCATTCAGCTGCAGTTTGTGTATGTTTTGATTACATTCTTTTGCATACTTAGCTGAAACTAACATTTTATGAGGAACTACCGTGACATGTGTTTTCTCTGTGTTATCTCACATGGCCCATACAACAGATTTATTGTTAGGTAGTTGTTGTTTGTCTAGATGAGGAAGTTATAGGAAGATCGGTAGTTGCTTGAGATCACAAACGTAAAGAGAGGGAGACCCAGGAATCCAGACCCCAAAGCTGAAGTCCTGTATAGTACTATTTGCTGTCTCACTGGCCATCTGACAATAACAATTAGTCCTTCCTTGACACTTGCTCTGACTAAATAAGATGGATGACTATAGAAAATTGTGTTGTAAAGTTATTTTAATTCCTTAAAATTAGAAAAAAATTTGAGGTTGACCTTTATTTTGGTAAAGGTGCTTGAATCAGTGCACCTATCTTTCCATATATTCTTTCTTCCATACTTTTTTTTTTTTTAATCATCCTTTTTAAAAAATTGTCCCCTCCCTGACCAGGCTGCAGTTGACACACCACTTTTCATGTAGTGACAGACAAGTATAATGCCTGAGAGGTAGTAAGATAGAATTTGGCTCTCGTCTTACAGCTTGTTTTTTTTTACAGTCTTGTTTTTCAAACTCTGTGTACCTTAGGTTTTTATTTGTAAATTGGGAATAAAAACCATAGCTCCCAGGATGGTTGTGGTGAGGCTCATCCAATGCA